AAAACTACTGATAAATGTATAAGAACTTAAGCATCTATTATTATGAAATAATTGTTTTGTGATTAATCTTAATACATTATCTAAAATATTCATTTGAATTAAATTCCCTTATAATTTTTATAATTGGTTGAAAGAGAAAGTAATTATTTAATTAATCTTAGAGGATCGTTAAGTCTTATATCATTAATTAGAAGCTTTATTTCTTTTATGCTCAAATAGTACTTTTGAGTAATGTATCGATCTATATAATAATGGATTATTGACTCTCTTGATATCCTCATATTAAGAAATGAAGGAATGGCAAGATTATATCCTTTGCAAATAATTAATTAAATGTAATCTTTTATTAATTTAGTGACCTTTTCTATTTTATAACATAATTCTAGTGATAATCGAATAGTGAACTTTTTAAAGCAAAATAAAATAACATCATATTTAAATGATATAGTCATTCATTGCAAACATGAAATTACATGTCAAAGAGCAAATTAATTACTTAAATATATTTAATGATACAATTAATTTCATCATAATATTCTTCATTAATAAATATTCCATAATGATCACTTTTATATATTGTGATTTTCTTATATCCTAATAAAGTATAAATTCTATATTATTTCCCATTTACCCATATTCAAAAATAAATATGTATCTTCTAAATATCTTATTAATCTCCAATTGCAATAAATTATATTATTCTATATGCACTTATCTGAGCAAATTTGTGTTATTTTACTTTAGTTCCTTTGCTAATTAATATTTTATTGTCATCTATCTACTATTCTTAGTCAGGATATAACACAAATGATTATAAAATTGAGACAAATAATTTTCTAATAATCCCTTGTTACTTTGAAATAACCACTTCTTATAAAGAGATTATATCTGAATCATATATATAATATCTCTTTTCTAAAGATTTTAATTCTTTATATTTCTAATATTTTATGTAGAAATTCTTAATAAATTTTAATAATGTTGTTCAGAAGAGTCATTTTCAGATTTTCAAAAGAAAAGATAGATAAGATTCTAGACCATGAAGACTATTTATCTTAATAAATAGACAAAATGGCTGCAGCTTTCAATTCTCAGAACAATAAAATATTCAATAATTACATAGTTTTCTAAAACAAAATTAATGTAGATGGTACTTAGAATTTGCTTAAAAAAAAGGATTTTCAACCAAATTAAATAGATCTGCAGCAATATATATTACTTTATGGGGTATGGCAGGTGGACTTTCCTATTTTTATATAAATCCTTGGGTTACTTTGATTCCTGCATTTTTTTTAATTTAAACAATATCATCATATGTGACTGGTAGAAAATATTTGGGTAAATTGGTTCAATCAATAACTTTGGCTAAGGATTAAAAAAAATGTTTAATTGAATTAGGAAATAAAAAAGTTTTAGATGTCAATGTTATAGATAATGAATTATTAAATATTAGTGATGTGATATCAGTATCAAACAATAAAATAGAAGAAGAAGTGGTAACTAATAAAGTATTATAAAGAATGAAAAATATAGATAATCAAATTATGTTATATAATTTGAGACAAAATATGATAGTAAATTATATGAAGATTTGAGAGTATTAGTAACAAAAGACAATGCTGAAATTCCTAATATACAATTACTTTAAGATATTATTACAGGAGAGGATGTTAGTGGATACATTTATGAGGAAATTGTATAAAATTAAGAAGATTTAATAAGAAAGGAGACTGATGAGGAATTGGAAAAAAGGTTGAAAGATGAATTGAAAATATGAATTTTTATATGTGATAATAAATTAAACTATAGAATGTCAGAAGATCCAAATGAGAAATGGAAGAAGATTCTATTAAATCCTTATGGGAAAAGTAAAGATGATGTTTAGAATGAAATAAGAGCTATGCATAAAGAATAGCAAATGATTGATGAAGCAATCACTAGAGAAGCTTTATTATAAACAATTAAGGCAAAAAAGACATATAGAAATTTAACAAATCCTAATACAAATGCTGATAAATCTAAATTAGTACCAGTTGATGGTGATTTAAAATAAGGAGCAAAAGTATTTATGCGTGCATGTGCTTCTTGTCATTCTTTGGAAATATTTACAGGAAAACCATATGCAGCAGATTTTTCATTTTAAGAATCTAGTGGACCATCTTTAGCTTAAATTTATAATAAACCAGCAGCTAGTTAAAGAGTATATGAAGAATATACAATGGCCTTATTGGATTCAAAAATATTTTGGAATAGTTATAATCTATATATGTGGCCTAAAGATCCTTAAGCTATGTGTAAAGGAACAAAATGTTTATAAAGAGGAGAATTATTAGAGAGTGCAGAGGAAAGGTATAAAATAATATTAATAATATGTAGAGCTGATTTAGTAAAGTTCTTAAAAGGGTTTGCAAAAGCAACATCAGATTTATATAGAAGATCATTCACAAAATATCATGGATATGAATGGTAAAATTATAGAGAATAAGGTTTGGTTAAAGCAAGAGAAGTTGCTCATTAAAGATAAGGATATGAACCAGAAAAGAAGTGATTTATTATTAATTATATCGTTTTTTTGTTTTCAATAATGAAATATTTACTAGTGATTGCTTTGGTTTTTGTAATAACAACCAAAGAGTTTAGTTATATGGAAACAAGTAAAAAAAAAGATTGAATTTAGATTGTTTACCTGCAACTGATTTGAATGGTTAAAAACATGAACCAACATATGCAGAATAAGCAAGAAAACATTTTACTAAATATGCTGAGTAATCAACAGAAGATATGAGAAAGTATTCAGGTAGACAACCATATCCTAATCTGAATACATATTCTGAATAAAATTGTGCAGGTAATGGAGCCGATTTACCTAAAAGAGATAGAAGATTTAGAAGAGGAGGATGATTATAATTTATAATCTATTTATCATCAATAGAATTATAAAAATATTATAACACTCAAACAATCATCCATTTATCAAATAATCCTTATAATCAAATTATTCCTCAGGATAAAAAGAAGTAATAACAGTTCTCTTATTATATGTACGACCAGCTAAATGGAATTTAGCCTTTTTAGCAGGTATTTAATAATAAAATTTAACAAAAATCTTTCCCACAGCTGGATTACAAAATCTATTATAATAAATAATATCTTACCCTGATTCTTTGTCTGGTCTTGGTATTTCTATCTTCTCTATCTATCCAAAACGTATGCATTCACTTCTTATATCCTCCATTAATTCTTCATATATATCATCTTCATATAAATCTTCAATTGAACACTTTTTAATATATCATTTAATTGATACCATATTCAAAAATTATACAACTTTACTTGGAATCAAAGCAGACTAAGGGATTGTTAACATTTATTACACTTATGGCATTCGCAACAAATCACATGATGCTAAAAATGATCCAGCATAATTAGAAGGTTAATCTCTTCCATTAATTTTCTTATTTTATTATGGTTCTCCTTAAACCTTACATATTTTTAACTTTTTGTCTCCAATTTATAAATTATTGAGTGCTTTTAAAGCTTTTGCAGTTGAAACAGTGTTTTCATATTCAAAAAAACAATAACCTTTAGAAATCTCTGTATTTGATGTGGTATCTTTAACTAAATTAAAGTATTTAATTGTTCCAAATGATTATATTAATTTCATCACATCTTCATCTCTTAGATAAGTAGGTAACCCTCCTAAATACAATCTTGTATTGTCTTCCTATTTTTATTCAGCATTTAAGTCTCCTTCTTTAGTTTATGGATTTAAAATCCTTTCTAGAAATTTTCTTGGTCTTTCTACTTTTATTTTACAATTATTCACAAATTAAACCTAATCTTAAGTAACTAATGCCCTTTTAGCTTCTTTTGAACTACATTCCAAAACTACCCAAGATTTTGTAGCACCATATTCAATAGATTTAATTGGTCTTTCGGCTTATTTATAATTATATAAATACTGATTTTTGGATCAAGAGATGTGATAAGAGTATTAAAATATTCTTCCAATTCTTTTAATTATACATTTAAAGGTACATTTGATATTATCATCATATAAGGATTATTTTCATAAATAGCATATTTTTCTTTAATATGCTAAGGTAGATCAGGATCTTGTAAAATATGAGATGTCTTAACTTTATTTTACCAATCATCATCAAAATCAGTCATAATTTCTTCTAATTTATATTATTTCAATAATACCTTCTTCTCCCCATTTCTTTTTCTTTTTATTTTTCTTTTTCTTTTTTTTCTATTCTTACTATAATATCTATTCTTTTTTCTCATTTTTCTCGTTATCATCTGATTCTTATTCAATTTAGTCTTTCTATTCTTTAGTTTCTTTGTTTTCCACTACTTCTTAATTCATATAATTAAATAAATTTATAATTTTTGATTCTTCTATTTATTTATTTGTATTTATTGATTTCTATATTTAATTAATGCAAATGATAGATGATCTAAATATAAATACTCAATCTTAATCAAATGTGTAAATAATTATTTCTCTCATCAATTAGCAATCAAATTTAATTTTATACTCTCATTTTAAAGTAATAACACATAATCATCAATTTCTTTCTCTTTTCTTATATGTTTCTATTTCTCTCTTTTTAATTCTACTTTTTCATCATCCTTTTATTATTCATTTTCATTATCATTTTATTGATCATCTCTTTATTATTGAAGTTCCTCATTTCCATCTGTATGTTTTCCTTCTACATAACCTTCTAAGTCTTCATCATACTTCAAATCTTAATATTATTTAAATTAATACCATTTTCAAATTCTAATTAACCTTCTGAATCATCATCAGAACATCTTTTCTAAATTTCATAAGAAAATTCCTCCTCATATTTCTCACTATAATGATATTTTCTTCCTTATTCATCTACTTTTGTTTCTGATCTACGAATTACACTCGAATTCACTAAAATCAACTATATAAAAACGATTATTAACATAATATAATAAGAAAGTGAATAATATATAAAATATCAAAAGTCTATAAGAGATTCAGTATTTTATAAGATCTTATCAAATAATCTATCTAATTATGATTTCCAAATAGGCTTTGATTTTTCAAATTATTAGAGTTATTCTTATTCAATAAGTCCTTCAAGAACTTAGTTATTATCACCTATATTATATGCAACCTTAATTTCAATATTAAATAAATTATTTTCTAAATATTCTATATTTAATCTTTTATTGACCATATAACCATTAGGATTTTTCACTTTTCTCATATTTTAAAATCTATTTATAAATTATTGATGTAATAAACTAGCAATAATAATAAATATTTTTTAAGTTTAAATTTTACATTTATTATTATTAGAATGTACAGATATATGATGATTTCTTAGTTTCAATTATTATTTATTCACTAATTAAAGTAAATTTGGAATTATTATTTAAAAAAGTAAATATTCCATAGCTATTGCTAATTTTTATTCCCTTTAAATATGGATTCTATTTGTTTAATAGAAATGACATCTCTCTCCAACAAAAAATGAAGTCTATTGTTTTGATGTTTTATAAAGACTAGTGATCAATAAACATTTTATAAATTCAGGAAAATTATTTTTTCGAGTAATTAATTCCAAATTTTGGTATATTAATTTAGAAAAACATTACACTCTAAGTTTTTTAAAGTCCATACTTAAAATAGGATTAGATAATTCATCACTCTAATTACATTCATCAATATATTTTTGACTATTAAGATAATAAATGACTTTATTTGCAATAACTTAAACAAATTATTATTATTATTCTTCAATATATTTTAATCCATTTTAGTTTATGATTCTCTAGCAACTTGAAAGTTTATTATTTAATTTGAATATAATTTGAGTATCATCTTTTTTAAGAAATCTTTAATATGATTTTTATAAATACCTAAATTTTTTTGAAATGACCATAGCTGAAAAGACAAAAATTACATATATTTTTAGCTTTCTTCTTATAAAATCAATTCTTTAAGTCAACTTCTATATTTCATTTGATTTTTAATTATTATGAGAAACTAAATTCATATCTGGAATGAATTATTAAGTCCTATATTCATTACTAATTGTTTTAAATTAATCTTATTCTATTTTTAAGTTTTTGTCTAAAGAATATAGTGAACCATTATTTGATTTGCTGAAATTTTGAACACATTTTTTTTCTAGGGTAGAATATCTTCTTTCTCTTATGTTTTCCTATTAAAGTCTAGTAGACTTTGTTGGTTCTATTTTTCTTTATTTAGTGATATTAAGGACTTTGTTTTAATAGTACTTTTCTAGAAAATTGTAATTAGGAAGCTTAAGACTTTTTTCTCCTTAACTAATCAAATCTTATAGTGGTATATTATTGTTGTATTAAGTAGGTGATTAATTTAATTCATTCAAATTTTCAATTTTAGATATTGTGTTCAGCTTAATTACAGGAGTTCCTTAATTTCCTATTTAACTTTTAGTTGATATCATTGGTAAATTAAAATATTCATTCAAAAGTACTTCTCCATTGGAATGACCGATTGAACCAAATCTTTTCATTTATAGGGTTGCAGATCTCTAAGAATTGGCTGAGGGAGAGAATTTTTACATTAATTTATAATTATAAATTATATTTATCAGTCTACTTAAGTATAAATTTAGATAAATAGAAATTTGCTCGTAATAAATTCAATATTTATCAAACAATATCAAAGTAAAAGATTGCCTATTAAAAATATCTAAATCAACTTCTTTTGATATGAAAAGGTTTAATAATATGTTAGAAATTTAAGTATTATAAAAATTTTGAATATCTACAGATTTATATATTTATAATAAAGCTGACAATAATTACATATAAACTTTTTATATTTCTTTAATAGAGTTAATAGTTGATGGTTAACCAAATTGAATTAATAATTTAATAAAGAATTAATGGTAAAACTTTGAATGAGCAGTAAAAATGAGTTTTTTAGATTTATATTTAATAATATTAGGTTTTAAATAGTTTAACTTTATAATTCATTATTTTATTGAATTATTAATTATAATAATTATTATATTTATAATTAATGTAGAAATATCATAGTTTAGATCCTTTTTCTATGTGTCTATTATTTCTAAAAATATATTAAAACGGATTTAATATATGTTATATAGAAAATAATATAATTTAATTTTTCCAAAATTTTCCTTATCATATTAATATGCAAATGATTAAGGATGACATGATAATCAATAATTCAATTCTAGATTTTAGTATGACAGAAAATCAAAAATTTGAATCAATCTGTCAACAGTTAAAAAATATTTGTACTGTTTCTTAATAACTCTTGGTACCTAAATTAAGATAAAAACGAATAAGAAAGAAGAGAGTATTGAAAAAACTATAAAAAAATCAGAAATCAGAAAAAGTGTCAAGTGACATTCAACATAAAAAGACTATTCTAAATTATTTTGAAGTCTCTCGAAATGAATTGGAAGAGAAGATTGCATTAATTAGTGGATTATAGCAGTAGATACAATAAATAAAGTTAATGATGTCTCAAATATGAGTTATGAATATTCATTTTCTTAAATTCTTTATAAATAAAATTTAGATGTCTCAACTATTTTCTAAATGGTTAATGTAAGATGATTTAATTTAAATATAGAAATACTTTATCAAAATCTCCTAAAATACTATTTGAAGAAATCGATACATGAAAATAGAAAGTAAAATGATATAACTGATTTAGATTTGATTATTTCATTAAATTTAATTCTTCAATATAATAATAAGTATTAAAAAATTAAAACTTTCGTAACACAGCTTTTATACAATTTTGTTGTAATATCAAGCATTTAAGATGCAAATTTAAATTGTTGACTTTCAATATTTCTCTTTCTATTTTAAAAAAGTCGCTTGCTCTTATAAGTTTTAAAATTATATATATAAATGGTATAAGAATATTTTTGACTCTATTTTATTATATTATTATTAATAAATTAAAATAATATATACAATAAGTGATTGTTTTCACCAAATAACGCAGCATTCTTTTCTTTTTCCTTTCCTCTTATTTTTTTCGAAATTATAACTCAACATTTTCAAAAACGCTTCCTCCTTTGAATTTAGTTCTAAGCTTTTTGAAGTCTTTAAGCTAGTTTTAGTATAGCATTCTGTATTCTCTTATTTAGAAGAATTTGATAAATCTAGATTAACGATTTGATTTTATTCACTATTCAGAGTGAATAATTCTGCTTTATCATTGATAGTGATCTCATATTTTGAACCTTATTTAATTTCTTGTCCTTTTCTATCAAACCTTTTGGCTTAAGTTATTTTGATCTGAATACTCTAATTCCCTTTTTTAATTTCTTTTTTTAATGCACTTTTAGGTTAAGTGTTTTCATTGATTTTACGCTACTCTTTCTTCATTTCTAGGATTATTTTGTTGTTTTAATAAATTGATATATTTTTGAATGATATTATTGAAAAAAAACATAAATTATATGATATAGCATATCATTTTAATATATTGATGACGATCATTCTCAAATTTTATATTATATTACTTACATTAAGTATTTCAACTTGTATTAATTGAAACTATTAGTTCATTATTTACTTATGTATCTTAATTAATCAGATTAGAATATGAAGATAATTTATATAAATTTTGCATAGAATCACAACTTTTATTAAAAAGAATTTACTAGAAAAAGTAATAAACTTGAAAATAATTATAAATTAAACAAAATATAATTTTATAAATGCTTATAACACATTTATATTATATTATGTATATTTGATTGTAAAATAAATAAATGAACAAAATAATGTAATTTTAATTGTTGATATTCAAAATGTATTTACTAAATTTAAGTTTTGATTTAGAATTAGATTAATATTATAATGATTTTTGAGAATCAATTTGTTCATTATTTTGAAATTTTACTAAAATTTAAAGAACAATTAGTAATAATAAGGTTAATAAGCTTTTTTAATATTAAATAGATTAATTTAATATTGAGTTATGTTCTATGAATTTAAATAAAATAAAAACACATCAATATAATTTATCTTCTTCTACTTCTCTAAAAAATACTTATTTTTCAAGCCATTAAGCAAGCATTTTAGGTTGTTATTTAAGAACCTCATCAAATTTAAACCATTTCTTTTCTCCATTCTTCAATTTAACAAGAATATTATCTTTTTAATGTTAACACACTTCAATAATTTCTGAGTTCATTTAAAAAATTAAATTTATATTCTAAATTTCGTATGAAAATAAACTTTTTTATAGTTAATTAAAAATAGCACACTATTATTGATCAATTTTTTACTTATATTAGTTTATTTAATAAATCTAATTGTATATCAACTTATCTATACTTATAATATTATTGAATTATTTGTATATAAGTTATTAATAGAGAAAGAGAATGATCTAAAAATGAATATATTGTATTAGAAGATTAACTTTATCTTATATATAAGCATATTAATAAATAGAGTGTAAAACGGATTTTTATTGTTAATTATATTAAAAATGAAAATAGCATTGCTTCTTGTATTGGTAATTGTGGGTAGTCTAGCAACAGAATTTGAAGATTAATTTGCTGAACTCGAAGAAACTTAATTTGGATAAACAATTTTACAAACAATTCAAATGGAGATGTAAACAGATGATCCAGTTGTCTCTAATTTAGTTGATATTATGCAACACTTAGAACAAACATTAGAAGGAGAATAAAAACGAGATGATGAAAGAATTGTAAGGTTCAAATAAAACTGTGATATTGCTTTGAGCTAATTGACAGAAATTATTAATACAAGCACTGTCACATCACTTACTTTAAAGAGTGATTTAGATTCATTAAATCCATAAAAAGTCTAAGCAGTTGCTAGTTTAGAAAGAAAGAATCTAGAAATTGCAGATTTAAAAGCAGAATTAGATTATTAGACTTTAAAGAGATAAAAAGAATCAGCTACTTATTAAACAATTCTTGATAATCTTGAATAAGCATTATTTGGAGTTAATTAAGTTAAAGGATATTTTAATAAATATTTAGATGTATTGGTTAAGAATAGAAATAGATTCTAATAACCATAACCATCATTCCTTTAAGAAGATTTTACATTCTAATATAATGATGAAGATGTAGAAGAAGAAGATATTGATTCTAAAGGAATCTCTTCATTTGCTTAAGTTGCACAAAAAGTTAATAAATTAAAACATCATGTAATCAATTAAAATTATTATACAAGGTTCATTTAGAAGGTTATAAATCCATAATTGAAATTTTAAGTTAATTAGCTAGTAAAGCATAAACATCAGCAGATGAACCAAGTTAATGTGAAGTATTAACTAGAAAAGTGTTATCCATCCTTAAATAAATAGAAAATTACATTTAATCAGAAAGAATTAGAGAAGATCAAGCTGAAAATCTTAGATAAAGTTCTTATGAAGATTTGAGAACTCTATTATCAGATTAATTGGTTAAAGCCAATTAAGATAAAACTTATATGGAAGGTATAATTATATATATATATATTTAAGGATTAATTGATTCATTATCAAATAGAATTCAATAAGCTAAAAATGAAAAATTTGAAGTTGATTAAAAAATTACAATTAAATCTAAAGAAAAAGAAAACAGAGAAAATGATTGTAGATTAAAAAGACAAGAATATGAAACTGATACTGCTAGCAGGTATTTATATTATTGATAATTTTAGAATTAAATAAAAGAGATCTGTTGCTGTAGCTGTTGATTTGATTTCTTCGAAATTAGGATAACTTAAGAGAAAATTATTAGCAAATTGATTAGAATCATTATTAAAATACAAATATACATATTATTTTAAAATCTATTTTTTTTATAGATATCAATATTATACTTTCTTAATATAATTATAAGTTTATATTAATAATTATATTTCAATAATATAGTATAATTATATTACTTAAATTATCTTCTTATATTCTCTAAGATATTCAATTTAATGTTTAATATAATCATATTTTTTAAATATTTAATATTCTAAAACCTATTATGAACATTTGTCCTTGTAATTATTAATTATTATTTAAACAATTCTCTTTGGTTTTGTGATTTTTATTTTGAAGTAATAATATTGAAATATTGTAGAAATACTAAGTATGAAAACATCCTCAATTTAATTAATAGTTTAGAAAATTAGTATGTTAAGCGAAAAAGAATAAATAGAGTTCTTGGGTAAAAAACCACCAGCATGTACTAAAAGTACAATAGAAAAGCTTATGATGAATTTTTAACAAATCTCCAGGAACATTGATGATTTAGATTAGGATTTAAATCAGTTGGCTAAACGCCTTGATTATTTGGAAGTAAGCCAGATTTGATGAGTTTTGTTAGGAATCAATCACAGAACATTACACCCTCGTTTAACCATAAAAATAAGAAAACAAAAAAAAACGTAGAACTGCCAACCTTATCAAGAGAGATTTTTAAGTACTTTTTTTATATAGACATTAATAGTGTCCTTATCAAAAATGTGATAAAATATATGGGACTGACATTTCATTGAATTTACATATTAGACTAAAACATAATGGAGGATCAAAAATTGAAAGAGAAGAATTAGCAGTAATCTAAATGTGTTTAATCTTAGAAAAAAATATTAGAAGCTAAATTTTAAGATGAAGTAGAGCCAGAACACAGCTTTAATCTCCCTCCTAATTTTATAGAAGATTTCTACATCCATCATCAAGAATATATAAATAATTTAGAAAAAACTTACAATAAGAGAATATTACTTTGATTATAATTAAAAATATTAATAATTATAATTCATTACCTTTAAACTATTGATCTCTAAGCTTTTGTATAATGTTTAATGAATTAATCCTCAATCAATTCAAATAAATATTTTTTTTAAATAGTTAAGTGAAGACAATATTTTTAATTTTTTATAAATATTATTTTTTTTTCTATTATAATTAAAATATATATATTAATTTCTTTAGATAATTATATTAACTATGGTATTTTTTCAATTTTATATTATAATTTCTCTATCAATCATTCTTTTATTATATTCTTAACAGAATCATATTCTCGTTAATTATAACATCAAATTATGTATATCATGTTAAAATAGACTATCATATTGAAAATTTATTTACTGATAAGATTTTAAAACTAAATATTTATTCGCTTAATTGAATAGATTTATCATATTTGATGGTTTCTATGGATAATTAATTAAATTTAGATCAATCTATAACATAATATAAATGATTTCTAAGAATATTTATTATTAAAATGAATATAAATTTATCAACTTCAAGGAGGCTTTAAATTTCAATGATAATTTTACTAATCTTTCATTTTATTAGATTGTTATTGTTATATAAAGAGAAGGATTAATACATTACTTTTATGATGGTTTTATTAATATTGCAAATTACTCTAGAAATATTATGCTATTCAAAACAAACCCACTTTCAATAATTGTTATAATATTCTATTATACTTGTAGATTTTATAGTTTTTCAAATCGAGTCCATAATTTATGGTTTTAATGAGGTTCATTAAAATTTTGTTTTTATTATTATTATATATGTTTATGGAGATTTACATAATGAGAAAACACAAAAAGTGTAATGGTAAATTGTTAAATACGGTCTTTTATTGTTGCTATTTTTTGGCTTTTCATTTGAAGGAGAATTTTAGAAGAAAAACACCAAATTAAATTTAGAATATTTAAGTCTTATAAACTATAAAATACATATTTTACTTATGATATTCTTATTGTCTTAGAATCAGAAAAATAATAAATAGTCTCAAATACAAAAAATAGGAACTATATAAGTAGAAAAATGTTAATTTACCAATGATTAAAATGAAAATTAAATAAAACGCTGTTTTACTTAAAAATCATCATCCTCTCATGTCAGTGAAATGATGGAGGATTTTTAAACTGTTAGCAAAAGTATTCTTAATTAGAATATTGATTTTAATTTGATATTAGAAGCACTTTAAGAAGGTGTGATTTTAGTTCATTTTGAAAAATCAGATGATCTAAATTAACCTAATCTTAAAGTGGAGTATTAAAATTAACTTAGTAAGAAGATGTTTTAAAAGACAAATAAAGAACTTTTATAATTATTTGAGAAAATGCCAAGTGAAGTACTCTAAGATGAATCTCCTATGTTAGCTAGAAGTTCTCTAGTATTATTATAGAGTTTTGCTTCTTAATAATATAAAAATATTCCTAAAAGAACATCAGTATTGAATGCTGTTTATTCAATTTCTTAAGATTCTAAAAAGGATAGTAAATAAAATAGAATTAGTACTTAATCTCCAGGAGCGGGCTCATTTTCATATTAAGTAATTTATTTAATTTTCATTAATTTAGCTTAATACAGTTTTAAGATGTATATTGTATGTATTTACAACAAAGAAGCTTAAATTTGAGATTAATGGAAAAGTGGAGGCTATGATTATTGAGACAAGTTTTGAGATAGACAATAATAAAAAATAGATAGAATTAATTATAACTTTTGGTGGAGAGAATATTTTATTAATTATAGCTCGTGATGTTGTTCATAGAAAAAATATTAAAGAATTATTGGATATTAATTAATCAAAATCTAAGACATTATCTTTTGTAAGTCACGAATTTCGTTCTCCATTAAATGTAATGTTAAATATTTTGAGTGAATTAAAAGAAAGTTCTTTTTAGAATAAACATATTTTTAAAAGTGTTTAGATAGTTAAAGAAAATGCTGCATATATGTTAAATTTAGCTAATGATCTACTTGATTTAGCTCAGATAAAAGCAGAAACATTTAATTTGAATTTAAAAAGCTTTAATTTATTAGAGTTAGGAGAAGAGTGTCTAGAGATGTTTAAATTATAAGCAGAATAGAAAAAGATAGATCTCAAGATTTAAACAAATACTAGACCATTATTTTTATATTCTGATAGAAATAGATTAAAATAGATTTTTATTAATTTAATTGCTAATGCTATGAAATTTACATAATTTGGTTTAATTATTATAAAATTTGAATAGAAAGGATTATTGGTTAATGTTGGAGTTAAAGATTCTGGTATAGGTATATCAGAAGATGGATAAAAAATGTTATTTAAGGCTTTTGGGAAAATAAAAGATGCTTAAAATTAAAAGTTAAATGAATAAGGAGTAGGATTGGGATTATTAATAAGTAATAAAATAGCTTAATAATTATCATATAATAATTAAGGTTTATAAGTGATTTCTAATAATAATGATGAAAAGAATCATGGATCTTTCTTTTATTTAACATTAAATATTTAAGATTTTCATATTAAAGTAACATCAAATAAAATAGAATAATTAAGTAATTCTATTGATTTTCCAATATCTTATGATCAAAATCCTATTAAAGAAAATTTTGAATATAATGATTCTATTTTTTAATAAAAAGTACTTGATATAATGCCAAAATCAATATGTTAACATATTTTAATTGTTGATGATAATGTCTTTAATTAAAATATTTTAGAGATGTAAATATCATAATTGTAATATGATTCTTAATTTAATTTTAGTACAAAATCTACAATAGATAAGTCATTTAATGGTTTAGAAGCAATAAAATGTGTAAATTCAAAAAAATGCAATGAATAATGTCCTGGATATTAAGCCATATTTATGGATTTAGAAATGCCAGTTATGAATGGAATGATAGCTTCAGAATAAATACTGAAGATTAAACCAAACATTAAAATATTTATTGTTTCTGGATATGATGATAATAAATTGAAATAAGAAGGTGAAAAATTAGGAATTAAATGTTTTATAATTAAACCAATTTTAAAAGATAAAGTGTAAAAACTTATTTAAGAATATCATTTATGATTATTTATTTTTATGTTATAGATTTATAATACTTGATTTTATATATTAAAAGACTTAAAATTTATGATATAATTAAATATCTAATAGTTTTTATAATATATAAATAATAATCATTTAGTAATAATAAATTAAAATTAATCTTCTTTATTTGATTCATTACGTTGTTAATCTAAAGAAAATGAACTTATTGGACTAAGTTCTTCCATAATAGATCTTTGTTTTGGTAATTCTGGAGTGCTAGCCTTAGGAGCATATATGGGAGTACGAGTAACAATTGATAAATTCTTTCTATCCTTATTCATTAATTTTTAATCAGGACTATTGTATGTATCTAAATAATGATCAAAAGAATCTTTAGTTGGACTCTCTTAACTAATTTTTTAAATAATAAAATCTTACATTTTTAATTTTAATTATGTAGCCATTTCATTTAAAAAAAATGTATGATTAAGACATTATGTTGCTGTGTATCTTTGATCAGCATCTTAGGCTATCATCTTAAATC